TTCATTTTTGGCTCAGTGACTTGGGTTGTTTTTTAATTTTGGGGATTTTTTTTTTTTTTGGTAAATATTCCTTATATACTTATTGAATGTAATATTGGTTACTGTTTCGTTAGGTCAAAGTTACTAATCATAGAGGCTAATCTTATACAAATAGCTATCCTTGCTATTTTAGGTGTGATCTATGGACCAACAGCATCACCTTTACCTGGGTGCTTCTTCAAAATGCAGAATCTCAGGCACAATTCAGACCTATTGAATGAGAATTTGCATTTTAAAAAAATCCCAAGGTGATGTTTGAGAAACACTGTTCCATATCATTACTGATTTTTACTACTTTTTCTATTATTAAGAAAAGTGTGGTAAAATCACCTACTGTGATGGATGTGTCTCTCTACATCTTTCTTTCTTTTTTTTTTTTTAATGCCATCAGTTTTTGCTTTACATTTTGAAGCTCTCTCAGGTTCATACAAGTTTAAAGTTGTTATATCTTTATGGGAGGCGATTAACCTTATTCATCATTGTGAATTGATTCTTGGAATACTTTTTGCCTTAAACTCAATTAAGATAGTAATATAGTTTCATTATCTTTGTCTCTTGATGTTTATCTGGGAGATATTTTCCATTTTTAAATTTCTATATTTTTGAGCTCCTATGTTTTATACATATCTCTTGTCATTATGTAGATAGTCTTTTTTATCAGTTGCCAACATTTTTAAAGGTGGGCCATTAAATGTATTCACAAATCACTAATACATTTGGATTTAAACAACCATGTATTTTCCCCCATGTGTTTTATTTCTTATTCTTTTTTTGTCTTTCACATTAGTTTTTGTTATTTTTTTCCTTTTCCAGTTTGGCAGTTACAGTTTTGTTCCTATTCTTCTTGTAGGAAAACCTGTTAATTATCACATGTAAACTTAGATATCAAACTCCAAAGACACTGTTAACATGCTAGACAAGAAAAGGACTTAGGAAAATTTTTACTGTAGTTATCACATTACCACTGAATAGGTATTTATTGTTGTTCTGGACTGTTTCATTTTTATAACCCATGAGAACATTGTTGTTACTGTTTTATTTATTTATTTTTAAAGATTTTATTTATTTATTTGAGAGTGAGAACATTAGTTTGGTGGGGAGGGGGGGTGCAGAGGGTGAGGGAGAAGCAGACTCCCCACTGAGCAGTGAGCCAGATGGAAGATGGGGGTTTGTGGTGCTCAATCTCAGGGCCCTGGAATCATGACCTGAGCTGAAAGCAGCTCAGTTAGTTAGCTTAACTAACTGAGGCACTCAGACATGCTTGTTGTTATTGTTTTAAACAGTCAAGGTTGTTTTTCAGATATACCCTCAAAATAAAACTCTTCTTTGTTCCTTTTTCCTTCATAGACTTTTTCATCATAGACTGTATCTGGCAGTGCTTTATAGTTGGAGTAGGTCCTTAATTATACTCTTCAGTCAGGTTCTGCTCATACCAAATTTTGAGTTTTTATTTGAAGAATAATTTCTATTTTCATAGATTTCTTGATTCTTTTTTAAAAATGCTTTATTTATTTATTCATGAGAGACAGAGAGAGAGAGGGGCAGAGACATAGGCAGAGGGAGAAGCAGGCTCCATGCAGGAAGTGTGATGTGGGACTTGATCTGGGAACCCGGGATCACGCCCTGAGCCAAAGGCTGACACTCTACTGCTGAGCCACCCAGGTGTCCCTGATTTCTTGATTCTTAATTGACCTTTAATATATTAATAAATACATCACTCTGTAACATAATTTTCATTTTTACTGTTAAGAAGCATATTGACCTTTTAACTGATTGCTGTGCAACTACTCTATACTTTGCTTTAAAAAAAAAAAAGATTTATTTAGTCATGAGAGACACACAGAGGGAGAGAGAGAGGCAGAGACACAGGCAGACAGTGAAGCAGGATCCATGCAGGGAGCCTGATGTGGGACTCGATCATGGGACTCCAGGATCATGCCCTGGGCCAAAGGCAGGCGCTCAACCGCTGAGCCAGGTGTGCCTATACTTTACTTATAAGATCATCCCTTGATTTTGAAAATTTGTTAACTTTACTTTGTTAAGGCACTTTAGGTGTGGAATGATTTTTCTTTGTTGGGATTTGTTAGTCTTCCAATATTATTGAACCTATGTATTATAATTATTATCCCTGGGCATTTTCAGTCATTATCTTTTCAAACAATGCCTTGGTCCCATTTTCTATTTCTTTCAGGACTCAAACACATACTAGTTTTTCTTATAGTATCTTCTATGTTTCTTGATCATTTTCTCATATTTTCTATATTTTCAAACCTTCTGAAGACTTTTTTCTAGTATATTACCTGTATCATTCTGTTGTATTCTGGGTCTGATGTGAAAGCCATAGGTATCACCTCACCAACCTCCAACTATGGAAACTGTAAATACCAAAGAACTCTATGGTTAGTTAGCAGCGTCTAACATGACTTTTCAGTGATATCTGCCTTGTGATATTCTTTCCTAAAATCATGTCCCCTTGCATGTGGGTTAGATCTGGTGAGTATCTTCTAATAAGTAAAGTAAAAGTGATGGGATATCACCTTGATGATTAGATTGTAAGAACCGTGACTTTTTTCTTGCTATTACTTTATTGTTCTGTTGTGTATTTGCTCTGATGAATTTAGCTGCCATGTTTTGAGATGCTCTATAGAGAAGCCCACATGGCAAGGATACAGTCTAGGCTCAGTCCAATAAACCCATGAAAATCAACCTGTTAACAAGCAGGAGTGTGATAACAAGGAGTGTTCTCCTTATTTTGGTCTGCTTCATCTATCATTTTCTAACAGAAATATCTTAAAATCCGGGTACCTGGGTGGCTTAGTAGTTAAACATCTGCTTTTGGCTCAGGTCTTGATCCCAGGTCTTGGGGTCTTTAAAAATAAATAAATCATAAAAGTCCTTTGATGATTTTCTTCTCATCTAAATTTAGTAAGTAAGATTTACTGTAAGCATTAGAGGAGTCATAAATGATGTATTAAATAACATTTTAGAGATATGTTTATTCACTATTTTTTAAATTAATTGAGAATACACATTATATAAACATGATTACATATGCTATCAAGTGTATACATTGAATTTTTTTAAAAGATTTTATTTATTTATTCATTAGAGAAAGAGAGAGAGAGAGAGGCAGAGACACAGGCAGAGGGAGAAGCAGGCTCCACGCAGGGAGCCCGATGTGGGACTCGATCCCGGGACTCCAGGATCACGCCCTGGGCCAAAGGCAGGCACTAAACTGCTGAGCTACCCAGGGATCCCCTACATTGAATATTTTAAAAATCTGTACATATGCATGTAACCATGTCCCTGATTAAGGTATAGAAAGTTTTCAGCATATACTAGAACTTTCTCTTGTTCTCTTTCCCAGTCCATACAACTGCCACCTTCCACCCCAAAGAGATCATCTTCATTCTGACTTTGATCTCCAGACTTAGTTTTGCCTGTTCATGAAATCCATGTGAATAGAAGCATACTACATAGGCTTTTTAGTATCTTGACTGCTTTACATTGTAACTCTAAACAGGTAGAAGGATTCATCCCATTTTATTCTTCTAATTTTTTTTATTTTTTTTTTTATTTATGATAGTTACACACACACACACACACAGAGAGAGAGAGGCAGAGACATAGGCAGAGGGAGAAGCAGGCTCCATGCACTGGGAGCCCGATGTGGGATTCGATCCTGGGTCTCCAGGATCGCGCGCTGGGCCAAAGGCAGGCGCCAAACCGCTGCGCCACTCAGGGATCCCTATTCTTCTAAATTTATTCTGATTTAGCAGATACAAGAATGATAAAGGCTGAACTACTGGTGCCTGGGAGCACTAGTAGCAAACTTTTACCCTGAAAAATCCTTAAAAGGCTGAGGAATTGGTGGCATCAGCTTTAGGAAATCAGGATAAAGAGACAACTAAAATAGTACTTAGTTTCTGAATTTGATGACACTGGGCAGTTTCCACTTCTTAGAGTTCATAGTTTATTGTCTGACCTGAGGGAAATAGATACCTTTGAGAAATGAAAAATTTATTTCAAAGGAAGGAAATTCAACCAAACATATTTTGAATGCTGCGATTACCCACCTCTCATTATCTACTTGGCTTCCAGAATTCTGATAGGGAGACCTATACTCTCCAGACATGGAAGGGTAAAGAAGAATCCTTTTGCTTATTTGTTTATTGTTTTAATTTTCATTTCCATATTGAGGATGTATCTTTCAGTTTCATTTGACTCTACTCCTAAAATCAGAGTTAGTGTATAAGAACCTGGGCTAATTCCAGGCAGAATTATCTGTATTTCTTTCTGATATTTTATGGAAATGATAATTTTGTCATTTTCTCGCCATATTTTTATGTATATTAAACTGTAACACCCTTGTCTTAAGAGACATTTGGAATGTGTTTTCTACCTACTAGATAAGATGCAGGATTATGTGGATCACAGGTTAGCTCTGGCTTTCTTCGTGGAAGATCATATAAGAGCAAAATATTCCTTGGCAATTTAAAAAAAAATCTATTGTTTTTCTAAGCTGCAGTTTCCTCCATTTTACCTCTAAGACTGAGAAAGACAAAACAGTAAGCTAGGACTTTAATAATGTGTGGTCTTTTCACTTCTAAATCTTCTCTTTTTTTCTTGCCTTTCCATCCCTGTACTGCCCACCCTCTGAATCAAAGGTGGTTAGCTCTATCACCTGAAATCAAATCAAAAGATGATTTATTTTAAATAATTTAGAAATTATTTTTCTCTAAGTTTATTCCATTGGAAACAAATACACCTGGTGAATTTTTTCTCACCATTTACTTCTTGATTCTAAATGGTACTTTTAAGAAGTTGCTTTGGGATGGGAGAAATTTTATGAATTGGTAAATGCCATTAATGTACATTGTTAAGTCAGAAGCTAATTTACATATAGTTTTAAACATGATTTTCCTTTCATTGTGGATAAAACCAAATGTGTTTCCTCTTAGGAGAGAGACAGAGAAACTTACTGCTCTACGTAGTCACTACTCTACAGCAATAGAAAATGTTAATGTTAGTATTGAGGAGAATGAAGAAGCAGTGACTGAAGCATTGAAGGAAACAAAGACATCAAAAGATGAATTATCTGCTTTATCAAAAATGGTGGGTTTTCATATTTAAAAATTAAAAAAATACAGATTTTAGTTTTAAGCCATAGCTGTTAAAACTTACTATCAGTAATGAAGTAACAGCCAATTTTCTGTCTATATTGATTTTCTCTTACTACATAACAAATTACCAGAATTTTAGCAGCTTGAAATGACACCCACTTATTATCTCAAGGTTTCTCTGGGTCATGTCTTTGCTGGTTCCTATATTCTGGATCTTCTCAGGCTGAAATCAAGCTTTTAGCAGCCCTGCATTTCTTTCTGGAGACTTTAGGATGAATCTGCTGTCAGGCTCATTTAGTTTTGGCAAGATGCAGTTTCCTCGATTTTAGAACTGAAGTCATTGTTCCCTTGGTGGCTATTGGCCTGGGATCATTCACAGCTTTTAGAGGCTGCTTGCCTCCCAGGTTGGTGGTTCCCTTCATCTTTAAATCAGGAATGGAAGGTTGAGTCCTCTTAGGCTTAGTATCACTCTGACCCTCCCTTAAGACTCATCTTCCCTGACTTCCTCTTTTGCCATATCTCATTCACTATAGTAAAAGAAGTAATAGTAAAAGAAATTGATAAAATGGTTAAAAGAAATAATACTATAGTGCAAGACAATAATAAACACATTCTGTACTAGTTGGCATTTCTAGTAAGAGTTAAAATTGCATGTTTTTTTCAATTGCCACGTTGTATTATAATATTTCTATTATAATACTTTATATACTTCTATCTATATACTCTTTATTGTGTCTCCTTAAATTTTTAAAATTCATAATTAAGAGTGAGACTAAGCATGTTTAATGGCTTTTTGGAGGTCATTTGTATTTCCTTTTTTGTAAAAAGGCTGCTGCTGATATTTTTCCATTTGTTGAGTGATTATATTTTGACTAATTTATATGAATTTGTTGTATATTATCAATACTTAATACTTTAAAGTTACATATATTGAAGATAGTTTTATCCAGTCGTCTTTCATTTATGGTAACTTCTGATGAAGAGAATCTTCAGTTTTAGTGTAGTAAAAGTTATAAATATTTTCCTTTGACCTTTGTGCTTTTCTGAATTTAAGAATTTTTCTCTACCTTGAAGTCAAAATATATTCTCTGGTATTCTAAATGTTTTGAAATTTGGCTTTTCATATTTATATGATGCTTCTAGATGAAATTATGTTAAAAAATTCAGAACTGATATTTTTGCACATATCTTTTACTTGTAAGTTTGGAAGTAAAAACTACCTAGAATTTTGGGAATGCATTTTCTCTTGCCACATGTGAAGCATAATCAATATGAAATTCATATATGGATATAGTGTGAAGTTGAGGTTCCAATTACATTTTCTTCTTTTTTATATTTTATTTTTTATATTTTCTTTCTCAAATAAAAAACGAATTGTTGCAATATAATTTACTGTATTTATGTATTAATATTCAGTGCCATCTCTGTCACATGTGAGGCTTCCATATATGTGTGGATCTTTTCTATTTTTTTATTTGTTTGGTTTACTTAACCATCTTTACCTTAATACTTCATGTCTACGTTACTAAGCTTCTGTAATGAGTTTTGATTATTTATTATGGTGAATCCCTCAGTCTTAATGTTTCCTTATCAGTTTTAGGCTGTTCTAGACCTTTGTCCTTCCGTATAAATTTCAGTGTTATCTTACTCATTTCCTTCAGAAGTTTTATTGGAATTATGATTGGAATCATATTCATTTATGGAGTATATGATTGAAAAATGAAATCTTTATGATGGGGATACCTAAACATAAACATGATCTATCTGTCTATTTATTTGGGTAGTTTTTCTAAATCGAACCTTAAGCAGTTTCCTTGGAATTTTGTAGAAGGCAGACTCTCTCTGGGAAATCAACCTGAGATTAATCCTAGATAAATTAGTCCTTATATCATCAAAAAATTGTACAGTTATTTTTTAAAATAAATTTTTAATGTAATTTTGATTTGTTTATAGATGTAGTCTATATAGTAGATATTATTTAAAATTTGTGAAGGCTTAATTATTGTCCTACTACATGGATAATTTGGATAAATATTTTATTTGGGAAAAATCTTTTCTGTGTAGCGGGGTGCAATTCTAAATAGGTTCATTTTGTAAACTGTGTTAATTCCGTTATTTAATTCTTTTATTATTCTGATTTATTTTCTGACTGATGTATCAATTACTGAGAGCTGCATTAAAAAATTTTAATGTAATAGTGGATTTTTTTCTTATTTTTTCTGTTTTTCTGTTATTTCTGGTTTATATAATTTGTAGCCATGTTTTAGATGAAACTAAGTTTAGAATGTTTAGAATTAAGTTTTTTGCTTATGATATATTTTATTTTTATATTTTAAGCTATAAATTCTTAGAAGTTTTGGAATACATATTTTATTTACTGCTTATGAAACATAGTATCTTTAATGTCTTCCTGACAGTTTGAGGACCTTATGATTTTTTCTTGATACATTATTTATCTTCCATCATATTTTGCTTATCTTATTTAATAATCCTTCTATTAAGATATTTTTTATTAATTTACACAATAAATATTTGATTACATTTTCCCAGTGTAACATTTTGCACACAACTCTTTTTGTTTATAAAACATTCCTAATTGCATTATTTTTTTTTGTAACTAAAGAGTATCTTTTACAAGTTAGTGAGGTAGATTTGGTATTTTCAAAATTTTGTTTCCCTGAAAATGTCTTTATTTTGTTCTCATTCGTGCAGTGTAGGGAATATGCACCTAAATTAATATGGACATGACTTACATCACTGCATAGGCAATGTAGAAGAATCCAGAAATAGGCAAGGCTGAAAATACTAAACCAAAATACACTGGGCCACAGTGCTAGAGGGGATGACAAGGGAACAATGAATGAGAAGAAACTGATCTTAAATAGTAATGCAAGTATCTCTTCGATTTGCCCTTGTTTCTCTCTCCAACTTCTTTATAGCTACCCTTTTTCCTCTAACTCTGGATGAAACAGTCTTTTCACTTTCTTCTGCCTGCTTTGTACTCTAATTGTACTCTATGTTTACCTCCATACTGGTACTTACAACAGTATTGAAGTCAGTGATTACCTGTCTACTTCTTTTTAGATGTTTTCAAAGATAGGAGATGCGTTGTAATTTTTGTTTCCTCTGTGTAACATACACAATGTCTGTCCTATATTAGATACTCAATAAAATGCCAAATCAGGCACTCAAAAGGCATTTCATGCTTTCTGAATGAGTGAGTTAACTGGTGAATAAATGAAAGGAAGGAAAGGAGGCAAGGTAGGGAAGATAGGGTAAAGGAAGAAGGAAAGGAAAGAGAGAAGGAGGAATAAGTGGAGAAAAAGAAGCATCACGTTGTGATCCTGGAAAAAATTTGTGAAGTGTGGAATGTACAGTGTATACATTCAAGATAATCTGTGAAGATTTAAAATAATGAATGTAGCATTCTTACGTATAATTTCTTTCTAGGGACAACTATAAACATCAGGGAAATATAGCACAACCAATAAAAATTTTTACAGTATTATATAGTATTGTTATGATCTCAATTTCCTAATCATGCTGAAATTTGTCATCTTAAAGAGTATCATTGTTAATAAAATATTTTCAGAAATGGTAAATTCATTCACCAAGCCTACAAACAATCAATTTATTTCTTTGATCATCTCTAAAATGGCAAGTGTGACCTTCTTAACAAAATGTTATTTCTGATAGATATTACGACCATATTTTATAAGGTTAGTAATATTTTTTCAATTATAGAAATCATTTAGGGACTATCATACTTCCTGGGGAAGATCAGAACATGATTAAGTTTAGATATATTAATTTTTTTCCTGCATTTTGCACATTATAAAAACCTTTAAGCTAGAATTTCAAAGAGCGCATTTTAAGCACTCAATTAAAAGCAATGATGTGCATCACTTCCATGCATTATTTTTTGGTATGCATCGAAACTTCTAGTTCAAGAGAAAAGTAAAAGATTTGTGCTGCCTAATTGCACATACAACCTAACTGATTTTTTAAAGTTTCAAGGCATATCATACTTCCAGTTTAGTCTTTACCTCATTAACATACACCTTTTAAAAATTTATGTTGTCATTGTATTCTATGAAAACACATTTTTCCTTCTCATTTCTATAAACAGTAGCTTTTTGTAAGCTAGAAAACACCATGAAATTGATTTAGGACTTTAAAAATATTGTCAAGATCAAATTCTTTTTAAATGTAAAAGTACAGATTTTCTATAAATTCTTTTCTCATGTTTTCTTTGACATGTACTTGTACCACAGCTCAGAATTTTGTTTAGAACATAATTTCATCATCCATAACTCTTAGTTTTTTGTGTTATTAAAAAAACCAAACAACCATCTACATTTCATTTTATCCAGTCATTTCATGAGATAATAAAAAAATGGCTTTTAAAAATTCAGAAAATCTTTGTGATTTTCATATTTTACTGAACAGTGGCAGGTACATAATACTTTTTTAAAATAAATCAGATTGCAGGTAAAGGTTGTAAATAAGTGAATTCCTTTATTAGGTATACTTCTGTTTTCTTTTTTAGATATTGATTTTTTTAGTAGAAATGTTTTATTACTACTCTATTGAGTATATAGTATAAATCCAAAAACCACAAAATCCAGCAGTTTTACTTTTTGATTCATATTTTACCTTAAAATCTTCTGAATTAAGCAACTTATTTCTTAAAAATAGGTAAGCCAATAATTATCAGTGACAGCTTACCAAATAAGAAACTGGTCTAAAGAGGAAGAGTAAATTCTTGATGAACACAAGCTGTTACATGGTAGAGCCAATCTACAATGCAATTTTTGATATTGTTTCAATATAATAATATGGGTAAAATGTGATAATATTTATGAAAGTACATATTGCTGATTTTTTTCATCATAAAATTTCAATCCCTGTGTGACTTATTCCTAAAATATTTTAAAAATCTAGAAACTGACTTTATTTCATTTCTTATTTTAAAGAAGTGCTTAATGTTAT